TAATGCACCGGCATAATATTACTTTGAGACCTCCCCACCTCCTTAGCATTCCACAAGTAGTGACTAATCCCATATCTGCATTTTCCATAAATATGCTAAATTCCTTTGTTCATATGCAAATTTCTTTGGCAAGGCGCCCTTCCTCCTCTAACCCAGCTTAAATATACGCTGCCAAGCTTGGTGGTGTTCATTCAGACACTGTCTTTCCGATAGACCTGTTCTTCACCTGAGGACGGCTGCTTGCGTTGTGGCTGAAACGTCGTGAGAATTGTATTTTATTGTTTTATTTTTATTATTTTATTTATTTCCTTTTATGTGACTTTACTGAAAGAACCAAGAAGATGAATCCCTGCAGTCACGAAAGCTTTAAATCGAAATTTAATCTTAATTTAATATTATATGTGAGCACAGTTAGCCATATTACGGTGCAGAAGCAGTTCCAGATAATTGTACTGCATTTAAACTCTGCAGGATGCCTTAAGCCTCAGCTTTAAGCATTTGTTTAAGGCACTGCACCAAAGTCGAGTGATAATGATGGCAATCGGCAGTATGCAAGAGCCGATCAATGGGTCATCGTAACAGGATGGCACACGGGGTCACGAAAGGGCGACAGTGGTGGGAAGAAGTGGAGCGGCGAGGGGAGGGTAGAGGAAGGGAATGATGGGCAAGTGGGTAAATCCACTCGCTGTCGCAACGGCACCCTTATTGAAGACTACATTCGTCTGTGAAATGTAAAACGTAACGCCTTTGCGAGAGTAATTAGCTATGATAATTAAACAATAATTTAGTTATAACTTCTTTTGGTTCGCCAAAAGGAGCACAACACAAGCAATTCAAGTATAAAAATATTTCTCAGCTTTGGCGTTCTCTGGTCTGACACTGGTGAGACTAGGACATAAAAAAACTGTCTGGTGTAGGCCAATCAGTTTCAAAGACAATGCACATTATCCGAGTTTGTCTGCATGTGTAGAGGAGAGAAATACGCGGTGCGCATAGTTAAACGGGTGCAACGAAGGGCAAACAGGTGTGAATTTTGCAACATTAGGTTTGCACCGACAAACTGACGGTAGTTAAGGGGAGAAGCGGGTGCACCTGAGGTCAGACAGGTGGGTTCGCTGTGACCGGAGGTTGCTGTCAAAGGGACGGAAGATGGGGGTGATTTAATGGGCCAAAAGGCGCCGGCCTGGTGGCAGCTTGAGGGAAAGCACGTGAGGAATTGGAATGAGGGGGGATATATAAGGAGAGCATGCATAAGCGGGGCGGGGGGGGGAGTTGTTCATGGGGAATGAAGAGTGAAGAGACATCAACGCTGCTGCTCCAGCCGTCAACCCGACCGAAAAAGCCTAAGAGTATAGGGATCTCAACCCTCACGTCATCGCCGGGCGGGTGTTTGCTGAACCCCCCGCCCGGGACAGATGGGTGAGCAGGTCTGAGGGAGCGTAGGTGAGGGCAGCGGTGGAGGTGCGGAGTCGTTGAGTGCGAAGTTGCTGTGTGCAGAATCGCTGAGAGCAGAGCTGCTGAGTGCAGGATTATTGAAGGGCAGAATAGATAGGAGCGGGGAGAAGTCAAGTATATGTGACCATACAGATAGTTATAGGAGTGCCTATAACTGGCACAAGAACAGTTAAATAAAGTGTAAGCATGTGACTTGTTACAACGTGTCGGTGAGTAATTATTGAAGACACTACACATGTTCAACACAATTACGTGTGGTTAATGCAGACATTATTCTTTGCTAAAGGTATCTATTTGGTGTTTGAACATCTTAACACCTTGTTTTATTGTTAGAAATAGTAAAGCCGAGTCTAATTTTTCATACTTTTGTAGGGTACTGTACATGGCAAGGGTTATAGTGGGGTCTGTGGAGATGGGTAGAAACAGGTGCAGCGAACTGTACGAGGGAAGGTTCGAGAAGGGAGTAGAAGACAGTAGAGTCTGCCAGAAGAATCTACTGAGGGGAAAGTGCTGGAAGTTACCAGGGCGTAGCTGAGCAGGTATATAAGTTGTAGTGAGGCCCGTGATCGGGGCGTTGGCTTGCGGACTGAAGGACGACTGTAGGTGGACAACCTTTGGGCTAATTGGTGGAGATCGACATCGTGGAAACCATCAAGAAAGACTGTTCGAGATGAATCTAGTAGAAACCACCGGGACTGCAGATAGATAGTCATAGCCTTGTGAAACGTGAGTCATACTCTTGCCTTGTAAATGCGATACTGTAAAATAAATCGTCTAGAAAATCGAACCTGCGAAGGAGCTTTTTTACACTTTGATACTGCAAAAAAAAAAACATAGCCAACCGTGGTAATCGGAAGTGCAGGGGAAAAACAACAAACTAAACACTCAAAAACTGTTTTTTTTAATACAGATGTAGTGGCATAGCACTGATTGTTGGACAGCAGCAGCAACTGCAGGTGGGCACTTAGTGCACACCCCGCTGAGCATATACGCAGATGTACTGGCAGGGCGGAGGAACAGGGGCAAGGGTCATGATATACCTCGTGTGGAAGCCCCTGGAACCTTCTCGAGGTTCAAAGGGAGGCGCTGCTAGGGCGGAGCCAAGCCACACCAAAGGGAATATAAGCAGCAGACAGCAAGAGTTCTGGGGCTGCGGGTTCTGGGATTGGACTCGTCTCGTCATCTCTGTTGTCGTCGTCACCCTCGTCGCTGCCGCCTTCGCCCGATCATTGCGCAGCCGGACAATAGTTGGCTGTCCCGGTCGACGCCGTCAGTGCAACGCGAACAGGGTCGTGTTTGGAATGGGGCGCGCGGCAGAGCGGTCGTGTGTTAAAGAGAGAGGGGGCCCAAGTGGTGGCATGAGCTTGGCAATAACAGCAAAAAAAGAGGGCAGAGCAGTGCCTCCTGCGACGACCTCGTCTCCGGCTGACTGTCGGTCGCACGCCACCTGCACACACAGATGACACTACACAATGAAGGCAATCACAAGGTTGTCATTTCATTTAGAGGAACAATAACATTAATATTACCTAGTTGGAAATCAGCACTTTTTCTTCTATGACAAAAATCATCAACTTATCTCTCAGTCTTGAGTTCTAACAATCCATTTAACATCTGCACATGAGCTCATTCAATTGCTCAGCCTCTAAGGTGGATGTTAGTTTGGAGAACTGGCCACAGTGCATTATAACCATGATGTACCCTGCCCATGTGAATGTTAAAACTTCCTCAATGCTCTCCATTTCAGTGCAAGTCTCAACCCCTACGTCAATACTTCAACAACTGTAATGACTCTGACGACAATAATATAAGAAGAGCCACTTTTATTAGTTTACACCAAAAGGAACCCTACTATAAAATTACATAAGGGACCCTAGGCTTCTTGATTGTCTTCCAGCTTGTGTCTTCGAACGTCCCCACTCCTTGTGCTCTCCGCTTATATATCCCTCAGTCCCCTTTCTCGAATGTTCCCTCGCCTTATTTCCCTTGGCCAATCCCTGTCCTTTCCCTCTAACGGATCTAAACTGTCGCCTCTGGGTTCCACTCTGTTTTCTGCATATTCTCCTTGAAAACTTTCCCTCCAATCACTTGAAAAGCCTGCCTCCTGACAAATCCCTGTGGAGGCCTCTTTCCTCCAATCGGAGACCTTGGTTTATTTTTGAATAGCTGATAGGCTGCACATTGGCTTGGTCATTTTCGATCATTACACAACAATTCCATAGAGGTGCTTTGACAGCTGTGGTAACTGACCGAATACTGGTTTACCCCAGTTGTGTCTTTTTGTCTGAAGGCACTCTTTTACACATTCTTCTTTCTTTAAAGAGGACAAAGCTACCTCGTGATCAACTTCAGACCCGCTTATAGCCAAGTTCTCAATTTGGTCTCCAACACAAGTGATGAGGCCGGAGAGGTGAGCATGCACTGCTGCAGTATTACAATTGAATGTTTAGTTCAAAATGCAGTGTGCTAACGTAGATATTCGTAGTTATGCAGTTTATGTACAGTTATTCATAGTTATAAATAGCGCTGTGTAGCTTTAACTAAACATTTTGTGCCGTGTCTACCACTTCTAACTCATCTATAAGAGCACCATCATGGAACTGATCAAGAATCGCTGCCATATACAGCTCGGTGTAATTCTGTTTCGTGGAGTGTCAAGTATATTTTTTATTTAGCTTGTTAAAGATTAGATATACTCCCAAAGTCATTAACAGGACACCCACACAACAACAATCAACATTTACACCAACAGGTTAAGCCAGAACCTGACACATTTTGCAAAATATCTTAACATTACAAATAGGTTTAAACACGCTTTTTTAAAGTTGTACGTTTTAATAAATATTTTATAAGTATATAACATAAATATTATAAGTTAATCACTTTTATTAAAAAAAATACCAAATCAGTCTTTTGATCTAAGTTCCATATATCAACCATACCAATCCACGTGTATCATTGTTTTCCTAAGTTAATTGTGTCCCCACTTTATATGGTTGCTGGTGACGGCTTAAATTCAGGACTTTTCTTGGATTGTAGACTATCAAAACACCACGAAGGCAATATCAAGTATTTTCGTTCATTTAAAAAAACTAGTAGTTAAACAAATTTTTAGCAAGCTCATAAGTGCACTCGCGCTGTTTAGTTGAAACATGTTCATGTGTTTCCTCGCCTTATTGAAGTCTTGTGTTGAACTGACCTAACCTGGATCGAGCTATAAAGGTCTGAGCACTCCACAGCCAATCGTCATTGTGTTCTCCAATTATCACGGCTACTTACGGTATACACTTTACTACTATACACTACACATTACTAAACACTACACTACTATACTCTACACTATTATGCACTACTCTACTATACATTACAGCACTATACTACAATGATAGCTAATTTATTTAGAACTGCTGGTTGTTGTGTTTAGTTTGTCCTCCCCCCGCACCTCCGATTAGCACGGTTGGTTATTGTACGGTGCGAAAGAACATGCATACTTACGTATCTTTTCTCACTTCCAGCAAAAGTTTTATCCAAAAGCGTTTGGACATGGGCCGCGTGGTGCCAACTTCCCGGCTTCTGTCCGGATCAATGCAGCTGCTACTGACAGTGCTGATGATGCTGGCCACGGTAAGCTGAACAAGGGTCACAGCGTCCCAAGGCAGGAATAATCGGAGTCTAAATTGTTTGGGGTTTGGTCTAGTGAGTGATGGGGATGCTACCGCTATGTAAATGGTTAGCCTACTGGGCTTGCAATACACGGCTCGACGGTTTGAGCTCCTGGCGCCGGCAATTTTAACACTTAACGTTGCTTGCACGATGGTGGCCCACATGAGCACTCATTCAGGCTCAATTCTGCTTAGCTGCTGAGATACACTACTCTGTCCCATCCGGTCATCTATGCTCCCAGTCTCTACCGTCCCTCCGTGTATCGCCCTCTTCTTCTTCCTTCTCTCTTCCCTCCACTGAAACCAACTCCTACTGCAGTACACAGAGCATCGTCTTCACAACCGGCTCGTATTCCTCTCTTAAAACAACCCTTATCTATTCTCTTCTATTCCATCCTGCTACTGCTACTCTATGCCCCAACTACAACCAAGCCTATCCCAACCATTATCACTACCCCTACCCCAACCCATACCACTACCACGACCCCTATGACTACTACTACCCCTAATCACTACCCCTTCCCCTATCACTACCCCTTCCCCTATCACTACCCCTTACCTTATCGCTACCCCTATACGATCCCTTCTGTTGTATGTGGAGGGTCTTACAATATTAATTATTTTATTTTATTGATTCTCGCAAGCTCGTGTCTAGGGGTTTTCTTACATCAATTATAAGACATTCTCCGCAATGGTTAGCAGGTTCATAGATCTGTCCATCAGTACAGGCTTTTTCAAGTAATATGACTCGTGAAATAGAAACAAGCCACTCGGACACTCAGTACACTACAAATCTGAGTATTTAATAGATCAAAGCATCAACTAGTCTCATAATCACGTCAACTCTGCATCATTCTTCTTCTACAATATACATGAAAAACACGTGACCAACCGATGCAACCTTATGCACCAATACATGACGAAGAAAAATACTAATGTCTAGGTATATAATTGGCCAAAGTGCGAACCTTCAACTCATGTACGAGGTTTGGGTCGGGTTTTGCGTCCCTCTGGCGATCTGGTTTTACCCCCTGCTGTTTGTACTCATCCACTGTCAGGTCACTCATCAATGAAGGAGCTTGTTGGTGCTCCTCAAAATTATGAATTTTTTAGCACTGGCAATGTTTTTAGACTCGTCATTTAAATGGTTGGTCAATTCTGACAGAGTTATGGTGTCAGTACCCCCCTTAATCACTTCATCTTTGGGAGGCAGTACACCATTGTTTTAAATAATTTTCTCTGAGTGAATATCTTTTTGGAGACATGCATTCTGTTCTAAGGCGCTAGTGTCAACACCCCCACAAACTCCCTCACTACGGATCGCAAATTCCGCATGCAGCTCGCAATTCATAAGTACAAGCTCGCTCCCTGCCACTCCAGCTTCCAAGCATCTCAATAGATTTGCCTCTTTTCTCATTCTGCATTTCTTTATAGGTTTCTGGCTCTGATTGGGCCCAGATTTGATTGGTACCGTAATGCACACTGTTTAAGATGATTCTGCAGTTCTATCCCAATTATTATCTCTCGGCATGTTGCACAATGTACAATGGGTGAGTCTGTTTAAGGCAAATAATTGCCAATTCCACTAATACCTTACCCAGGGGTCATATGCAGGTGTTCTCACATCCAGAAAACGTAATATTAATTGGGAACAACGGGAAATGTTTTACCTCGAACTATCAGAGCACTCTGAAAATCGTCACAATCCCTCCGAGATCACTGAATTTTCAGCTCCTGTATCACAGAGAGCATTGCCGGTCATGGTTCCTTGAAATGTCACTGATAATTATGACCCGCTGGTCCGAGAGGAATCGGCTCCCCAAGCTGTAACATTTACTTAACACCTCTAGAGTAATATCATTCTCATCTGTCACATCGATCTTCCATTGACTTATTTTCATGTCATCAACGTCTGCTATCTGGGTTAGTTGCTCGGGTATCTCAAAGTCACCCCTTGTCATGGTGACTATCTCTTGATCAGGAAGAGTGTCCTCTCGGTTAATCCTCAGAACACGCCTTGTCTCATGATTGGGTGGTGGTTATCCACCTTTTCTTGCTGGTGGTGGCATTAATAGTGCAGGGCCAGGTTGAGCTGGACCCTGAATAGACTGGAATCAGGGATCATTGTATGGTTGAGCTGCATTTCCCCGAAATCTGGGATTGTCATATGGAACCGTAACATTTTCCCGAGACCTGGGGTTATTCTCAAACCTGACCCCCTTTTTCATTGACCTTGTAGTCCCATAGAATTTTACCCCCCCCCCCTATCCTTTGAGTAATTTCGCAGATCATTTTCCACCACTTGGTTACTTGTATTTTTAAACCTGACCATTGGTATCCAATTTAGTTGTCTCCCAACACTGCCATAGCCTTCAGGAACTATTTCCCCTTCTAGATACAACTGAGCCAGATGGTGGACTGCGGCATTATATTAAGCCAGATGCCCTTTTCTCCGATTGCCTATGTGCACTTTCCTTTTTCAATTTAGTGTAGGCAAGCTGTTTCTGGTTTTAACATCATCCTGACAACCCGAATAATTTCCGGTCTCAAGGAATTAAAGAACATCACCTTGAATACCTGGTCATCCACTGGGGTGCTGCTAACTCGGTTTGCATAGTAAACATGCTTGAAATGTATTATATACTCCCGTGTGTCCTCATCGACTCGTTAAGACATAGCTTTAGCTGCATTGATACCATCTGAAATATCTATATCTTCGCCATATATCTGAATGAACGTCTGCCCAAGACAATCAAAGTTAGCCCTGGTCTTATGTGATAATGACTACCTATTTACCGGCACCTTCATGCAAACTCCAGCAGAACAGAAGTGCTTTCTCCTTTGACTTGTTTAAGTTTCATCTCCCTGTTACGACTTTAACATGATACAAATGGTTCTGTATACTTCTAAACTTATCTTCTGGATCGAAACGTATGACCCCTCTTGATAGCCTCATTCAACCATGAAATTTGTACCACTTAGAGCCCACTTTCTAGATAGCTGGTCCTCATCGAACGTCTCAGTATAAAAACTTTCACATGATGTAGACAGACCATCATCCTCACTGGTAGTTTCCCTATCACTTGACTTCCCCCTACCCCGGAATCTGTGTTTGTCTCTATTTACTTTTATCACATGACTTCTGACTTTTGCATGAGTCTTGCCCATATCGTGATAACATTCTGTTGTGCAATTTACCCTGATCTTGTGATTTGTGTTTATCATGTGATTTACCTTTGTCATGTGGTTTTAGTTTGTTACCTTGGAATGATGATTTTGTTTGTTCAGCCGCCTGACAGACAACCTTTGTCATCCTCTGTCATTTTATGCATATTTGAGAGAACTTCCATCATTTGTTGCATATTTTAGAACTTCCTTCATCTCTGTCTTAAGGTCATCTAGCTCTGATCTACGTATCTGAGTGTATTATGTATGATCGCTTGCTGAGTCACTCTGTTTGGGTGCATCTACAGTATCCCCTGCCAGATCTCGTTGGTCTAAAGTTCTAATAGCATGCAATCATTATCGCTTGTATCATAGCCTGCCTTGCATTCATCATAGCCTTCCTTTCCTCCATCAGGACCTCTTTTTCCATCCTCGTGGCCTCTTCTTGCAGCCTGAGGTTACGATCCTCAGCCATTATTTTTACGTATAATTTCGCTCATATACCATGTAATTCACTTTGGTAATCTGACCTAGAGCTCTGTACTAACAACCACACATAGTTGAACCTAACGCTAATCCAAGGTTTTATCACGGAGAAAGACAAGGTCCTGATATGCCATGGATTAATTTATATTTCATGGGCATCTGTCTGTGGACAGATTCCAGACCTTGAACCACCATTTATTGTATGTATAGGGTCTTACAATATATATGATTTAATTTAATAGATTTTCGCAAGCTAGTGTCTAGAGGTTTTCTTACATTAATAACTATTACAGTAAGACATCAGAACAATTACCAGTGGGCCCTCTTCGTAGGTTAGCACCTGGGAGCCATGCCTTTCACATAGACTGGCAAAAAAATAGGTGTTAAAATGTTCAAACACCAAATATAAACTTTTTGCAAGGATTCAAGTCTGCATTAACCACACGTACTTGTGGTGAACATGCAAACAAACACGCTCTGATAAAATAACATGTAAATTATCTTTGAAAATTAATGGCCCACACCAGAGACGGCCTTCTTTAGGGCCTTGTCACACCAGTGTCAGACAATAGAATGCCAAAAGGCGAATGGTGCACAGACAATGCACTATCAGCACATTTATAGCTCGGTGAGCAGCTACAAAATGGGAACTTTTTGCCAGTAGTATAAAAAGATTATAGGTTTTACCCTTTCTGGCAATAAAATAGGTGGTATTTTGTTTGTTTCCATGTTCACTACAAGTACATGTAGTTAATGCAGTCTTGAATCCTTGCAAAAATGTAAATATATACAGGGTGTTAAAAAAAGATGGACCCAATTTCAAAGCAGTATATTTCACAATGGCAACATGTTACAATTACACGAAAAGTTACAAACGGTTTAATGAGTTATCAAGTTTTACTAACCATTTTATAAATGCTCTTTGTGCCCTCCACCTGCTGTACGGACAACATCGAGATTATAGTTTAATATGTACCAAACGCCTCTTAAAACGTCTTCTTCCACTGAAGTCACCGCTGCCGTGATTATGTTTTTGAGGTCATCCAGATAGTCACTAAGGGTAGCAGAAAAACACGGTCTTTGTGCCACCATGCACTTTGACATTGGCAGATCAATGCCAAAACGCCGTTTAAACGCACGCTGCATCGCAATTAAGGATTCGGTCTTGCTGAACTGCAGAACGCAAACGCCTTGTGTTGTGGGGTCGCCATCTTGCGAATGACTGAGGCTAGGGGCTGTTTGTGCGCTGGCAGAGGCATCTAGCGGTAATCCTTTGAAACTGTATGCCCCGCCCTTTCAAGTGGTAAGAGT